GCTTATACCCAAGGAAGGGTCATTTTTGTAGAAGACATTTTGTATTAAGATATCTAGAAAGACATCTCACATGCTTTGCAAGAAAGCTAAATTAAACCCTGCAGTGGGTAAAATTATAAACATGCTTTCTGCCCCAGTGAGTAAGTGTGTATAAATAGAACGATTGATATACATGGCCTTAATGGTATAGCTCCCTTTTTTTCTACATAATGCAAATCACCAAATGTGAACATGTCCATCTGACATAAACTGTCAGTCTCAGAAGAGCACATTATAGGACTCAATTCATGTTACACGACAACCAAGATTGCCCTTTTCTTCACCATAGTGTGTTTTTTTTCTTTCCATATCCAGTGGTTGGTACTAAGGCCTGAAACCCTTAGTTACAGAACAAAGTGGCTTAGCAGTAATAGAGCCTGTGTGAGGCTAAGAGAAGAATAATGAACACTCCCTGCAAGCTTCCTGCCTAGATGCAGGTGCAGGAATCAGGAGGTCATGAATAATACATGACATGCAGATTAGGTGGCAGTTTCTCCTACTGGGGTTTTGACTTTGCTACCTGCCTGGCTGCTGCATGTGGAAAGAAGGAAGATAATGGTTAAAAAAAAAAAGTCTGCTCACAAGGACACTACATATCCTTTGGAAGAAATAAAATGAGGGGGGCAGCTGATGTCCAAGCCTTATGGTCTACTTTTTCAGCAGAAGCTGTACTATCTTCAAAGGGAAAACGCAACTTTCTTGATTCACCTTTCTAATTTAAGAAACGTTATAATTATTCGGTCATAAACAACAGTGAGAATTATTTTTCTAAGACTACTAAACCATTGTAGACATTAGCCATTCATGCATAATACTTGATCGGTGAAATTTGTTTAGAAGATACTGAAACCTAAAGAATATTATAATTATGGATTAAAACAGGCCCATTTCCCCTCCACTGATGTGTGTAGAAGCTACATCAATAAAAACATACTTCTGTCATCAAACTTCACCTGGTGGAATTAGGATGAAAAGAAATCACTTCTTTGTACTGTCCAGGGTAAGGGAGGGTGACAATATAAAAGGTAAAGCACTTAAAAGAAATAGAAGCGAATTAAAGAACTCAGTATTTAGGGCTAATAACTCCTTGAAAAGACTTAAACAGGAATCTGATACCTCACTGTGGGTCTGAGGAAAGTTCCGGAGGATTTTCTGCATTTCCCCCTTAGGTCAGGGGATTTTATCTGGGGAAAAATTTTTTTTGGTTCAGATAAACTTTTTGAGGATTTATTTCAAACAGACATAAGGAGAAAAAAGGAAGAAAAGGGGGAAATGAGTCTTGCTACCTTTTGTGTAATTCTTAGGCATTTTTATTGCAGGTTTTTTTTTTTTTTTTTCCTCTCTCTGTCTCCAATTTGGGGTGCTGGAATATGAGCTGGCTTTCATTGCTAGCTGAGTCTGTCATTTCCGCTAGGCCCCAGTTTGGCCAGATGCCAAGACCAACAGGTGATCCTTGTAGCTGCAAAACAGCAGGAAGTGGGCCGTGCTTGAATGAGACAGTTCACCAGAGGGGCTGTCTGGCCTCTCTCCATCTTTCTGCATAATTAACACCCCCTCCCCCATGCCGAGCAGAAAATCTGTGCTGAACAGCTCAGCTGCAGCAGCCTTTGAGAAGCACTGTGAGGAAAAGAATGTTAATAAGAGACATTGGGAGAAATAAGCCTTCTGAGTGCAAAGAGCAATCCAGTTCTGGGTTTAGGGGAAGGCTGCAGTTGGCCCTTTGGAGGGGCTGGAACTGTGTTATCTGTTTTAAAATCATTTGTACTTCCTAAGCGTCTGTGGAGAACTGCGGTTCTTGTGAATCTTGGAGCTGTTAATTTTAACTGAACTTCTAGATCAGTTTTAAATGCCTGTCTTCTTTCTTTCTTGCCTTGTAAATAAAAGTAATGTTTAAAGCATAAAGAGTGAAGAGAACTTCAACTTAGACTGCCTCAATCTCACCAGTGCTAGTAAAGACAGATGAAACAAAAAGTTGGCCACAGGAAGCCAGAAGTCTGTCATTTTGTTGGCCAGTTAGTAACCCACAAAAAGAATGGGATTTAGCTGCTAACCTGTCTTTGGAAGATACCAGGAGTTCCTAGAAACTTTAAAGTACAAGGGGGCTTGTTCAAAGAATAAACAGAAAATTGGAATTAAAAGTGTGACTTTATTTGGCGCACAAAAGCTTTTGAAATTCATGCAGAGTTTTCTCCTAATACACATTTTCTATAACTTTTAAAGACTCTTCATATTTCCAATGGAAGATTCTAACCCTGGAAGCTTATAAAGCAGTCTACTCTGCTTCAGCATTATCTGGCTAAAGTTATCAATTGACTTTGCCCTCCTCAAAGCCCAAAATAGAGTATCACTTCTAGAACGCCTTTGTCCTAGAAATCCCTTGTTCAGGGGCCAGTAGATGGCATGGTGGTTAAGGGCACTGAACTCCCACATGACCAACCTTAGGTCAAGTCCCAGACCCAGTGGCTTGAAAATCATTCCAGGCACATGTGCATGTGTGTCCAAAATCCCCAGTGGAGAAGGGGAGAAGGGATACAGTGTGGCTCTCTCCCCTGGGAAGTGTGAATGTCTCACTTTCCCTTTTTTTCCTCTCTCTCTGGAGAGTATACACACCCCTATGGCAAATACCTGAAAATAAAGAAGAAAGAAAAGAAATACCTTTCTTAACTTTTTTTTCTCCCCCATTGCCACAGATTTTTTTCACGGACATTGGGATTAAGTTATCTTGCTTTTTCTAATGTTTGAAATCTAGAAGTTGACTGTAAGAATGGGCACTTGGACTGTCTCTTTGTGCCCCCTTTGTGGGAGTGGAAAATTGGAGTGCATAAATTCAATATGGAATGCAGGAACAGCAGTAAACCTGATTCTTTGTCTGGAGCTCATAAAGAATTAGAGACACTGACACAGTGAGGGCATAGCAAAACAGAGTTTATTGAAGGAGAGGACAGCTCCCAGGCAGGACGGGTCCTGGAAAGTGGACTGCTAAAGAGGAACTAAGGTGAGAGGTTTTTATCTTGGTTAGTAGGGAGCTTTGTCTGGAAAAAGAGTTATCTGGCCTTTGGTTCCTTATTCCAATTGTTCTTGTGTATGATCTGCAAGGGAGGTTACAATTACTGATCCTATCTGGAGTTCATCTGCTGGGGCAAGTGATAAAGGAAAAAGATACTAGATTTTCTTTTTTAAAGAATTATTTTTTATTTAACTTTATGTATTTATTTATTTATTTTAATTTGACCAGAGAGGGACAGAGTGACAGAGACAGAGGGAAAGTAAGAAAGCAAGCCACCAGGCTCAGGACTCGAACCACGGTTGGCTATGTGGGAGTCCAGTGCCCTTAACCACCTGCCAGCCCTAAAGATACTAGATTTTAAAGAAGCTAAATCTAGCTGACTGACTCTGTACAACCTTCTCATCATTTTTCTATCAGCTTTCTCCTGCTGCCTTTCCTAACTAATTTCTACCTCAGTGAGAATAGGTACAAACCAGGCTCATTGAGGACAGGCACCTACCTTAGATAACTCTTACCTACTCTCACACCTGGCTAAGATAAGGTACTCAGTAAGTAATATTTTCTGAGACTGAATGAATGTGTCAATCAAGAAGAAATAGTGATCCTGGGAACCAGCAGTTAGTGTAATGGCTATGTCGCTGGACTCCCACGTAGTTGACTGTGGTTCGCGTCCCGGACCCAGTAGCTTAAAACCAACGCCGGGCGCATGTACGTGCGTGCCCAAGATCCCAAGAGGAGAATGGAGGAGAAGGGACTGCAGCGTGACTATCACCCCTGGGGAGTGATTTCTCGCTGTGTCTATGTCTCTCTCTGTCTGTCTGGTGAGCGCACGCGCCCTATAGCGAAAAACCTCTCAAAAAAAAAAAAAGAAAAGAAAAGAAATAGTGATTGTGATCCTGCTTTTGGGAATTTTTCACAGTGAACTTTGTGACTATAGGGTTGGAGGAAATTTCCTCCCTTCCTGAGCTTCCTGGAAATCACTGACAATAGGCAGATTAATAAGAGAAAGGCTGGGGCCGGCAGGTGGTGTGATGGTTAAGAGTGCTGGATTCCCACATGGCTGACTATGGTTTGAGTCCTGGACCTGGAGGCTTGCTTTCTCACTTTCCCTTTCTTTCGCTCTGTCTCTCTCTGGTCAAAAATTTTAAAATGATAATAACAACAAGAGGAATTAAATAAATAAATAAATATTTTTTAAAAATAAATAAGAGAAAGGCATACAGTTTAACTTAGATATGTGTGTACAGGAAAAAGAGAATATGAACTCAAGAGTCAGATGATTGTGGCTTAAGGGAGAGAGGAAGAAAAAGGGTACAGAATTTATAAAGTAAGTGAATTTTAAGGAGAAAGAATGGGTTTAATGATCAGACAGTGGTGAATAAATGATCGTCTTTGATAGCTGGATGGGTCTGGAAGACAGACAATATCTCATGACAAGATCTGTCCAGATGTGTTAACATTCCTCAGTTTTCCTTCCAGAGATGTGCATTTGGTTATTCTGAAACCTCAGAGAAGGAGCCAGGCAATTATTGGCCAAAGAGGAAGATCCACTTTAGTCGTTCCCATCTATAAACAGTTTCCAGAATTTCAGACTAAAGCCCTTTCCTACACTTCTGGAGAAAGGAGTCCCAGAGGGGAGACTTGGGAGAATGGAAGTAGTGGGGGGCTCCATACAAGTTACAGGGACCTTGGTTCTAACTCTAAGCTTCTCTGCATTCTTTGGGGATATCAGTTTCTGAGCCTCAGCATGATAAACCCTTGTTATCTTTAAAGTGATAAAAAAGGAAAGAGACTCCAGGTTTGCAGACAAGAATTTATTGTATCCACTGCTAAGGCATGCTCAAGTTTTGGGGGATGTTATATTACGCAATCTAATAAAAAACTCATTGTTTTATTTTCATTTGCTGTTGGGCTTGTGTCTTTCAATAACTAGATTACTCTCTTCTGCTTACAGGGTACATCCGTCCCCAGTGTCAAGGGTCCGGGGAAATCGAATGAATAATCAGAAGTTTGCTTGGTGAGTATGTAGTTTCAGATATGAGTATTTCTAAGTTTTATGGGAAGTTTTAATAAGGCTATGTTAAAATCAGAAGAATAACTGCTGCTCTTTTATAAAGAATGCAGTTCTACTAATTGGACTATGTAGTTTCCCTCTCTGTGTTAACTACTAATTTTAGCAGGCCATTGTTTCAGACTAAGCTCCTGTTTTAGGCTCCAGTAGTCCAGACCAAAATGAGTTACTCATGCTAAAATGTTACATCATCAAACTGAAACTATAGAAAGTTGCTGGATACCCCAAATGGACCATTCTTTCTTTAAAATAGAGGATCACTCTTTCTTGAATATAGTATAGTATTTCCTATACTATAAGGAAATAAAATGTATGCACATTGTATAGTACTTTTAGGGATAACCACCTGAATTAACTCAAGCTCTTACCTGTTGGAGATTTCATTTTATGAGCATTCCTACTGCCTACATACATTCCTCTTCACCTTCTAGACTGTCTCCATAAATTGCTTAAGATTAAACAAAGTAGCTCCTCTTGATAATGAGGTCATCCTCTTCCCCTTATAGCATTTAGCCAATCACTGCTTTAGAAGACTACTTGCTACTTCCCCCTCCCATCTGCAGCTTTGCCTTTAAAATCATCCCAAAATCTGTAACACATTGATACACATTGCTTGGGGCAATTCAGGTATCGTAGAGTCCAGGTGATTGTCTTAGCCTTCCTCCAAATATTATCTTTTGCTTTCCTTGCTTTGCATCGATCTTTCTTTTAGGTTGACATCTGTAAAATTCTAAATAAATATTATCAACTACTCATTTTATGGAATGTTTCTATTTTTTCAAAGAGACTGTAAACTTTTTAGTGGGGTACAGTCTACAACCTTGATTTTTCTCAGGGACCAACCTCAACTTTTCATGAAGATTTTCACAATTTGTTATATATATTAGTTTTAGCGATTACTATCTAGATGACTTTTTCCTGCTCCTAGCCTTAAATATCTAGGATTTTCTTTTTTTTTTTTTTTTTAATTGGGGAATTACAAATACCTTTAATTTAGTAATTCTTGAACAAAAATGCACCAGAAACAACCTGAAAAGTTACTTCATCCACAAAATGTTGATTATTGATTCTTTAAAGAGGCAACTTAAGCATGTTTTATGTGAAATAAAATAATAAATTCACACAGACTACAATCTGTATTTGTTTACATTACTCCATTCCACAAGATTAATCTTACAAAACATAATGTAGTGTTAAAAACAAAACAAAAAGAAAAGGATAAAGAAAAGGAACAAATGAAAGAAGTTGAAATGGTGTTCTGTGTTACTTCAGAGATGAATGGAAATTCACAGACCCCCACTTCATTGAATTGTGCTTAGAATGGGATTTTGATTAAAAACTATGGCTTTTTTTTTTTTTAAGTGTGGGAAGATGATTACCAAAGATTGAGCTTCCAAATTAATTTTATTCCTAAATCAGGATTATTTTTAGACACAAAGTAATGACACTTTGAATTTGAATAGTGCCTAATCAGCTCACCTCCCTTCCCCCATTAAATCTAATTAACCCTCACAATAGCTCCGTGATGTTGTTAAATATTATGCTTTTCTTTTACACAGAGGGGGAAATAGAACACAGAGGATTTAGCCATTTGCTTACACACTTTCTAAAAGTGGGGGCATCCTTCATGATCTTTGGCAATTGCCGAAGCATATTGTCTGTCTCCTTCCAGACTTGGAAAACTGAGGTGATCTTTACATGCTCCTGGTTATTAAATTAGGGAGAAATCAGGCCCATTCTTGATTGCAAGGAAGTTATATTCCTCCTCTGTACAAGGTATTCTAGACTAAAGAAGCTTCCAGATGTGATAGGCAGTTGGTTAGAAATGGGTGCACAGTCCTATGACACATACATAGAGAGGATTGAGATGCTCAACTGAGCAGTGTGAGCCGAGAATGGGATACAAAAATGTCAGTCATGAGATCCGGTTGCTACAGCTGAGTTCTCAAAGGCTAACTCACAAACACCAAGTAAATAACAGTTGTTTTTGTTTTTGTTTTGTTTTCCCTTTTTTTTCTAGACTATTGGAATAAGGATGACTTGTTTCTACATAATTCATAGCATGCTATGTAGCTAGTAAGTTTAAGCCACTTTTATCTTCAATAAAGTAATCCATGAAAAACAAAGAGGACTTTTACTGCTAGCCTTAAAGAAATTTATTAGTTTTTCAGCAACATTTATTTACAGTCCCAGATCTGTAAAAGGTTCTAGATTAGAAAGTTAAACATGATTTCTTGTCTCAAGGGGCTGTCATGTAGGGGAGATTGGTGTGTGTGTGTGTGTGTGTGTGTGTGTGCGTGTGTGTGTGTAGGCAAAGGGATGGCTCTCATACACATGTTATGACACATGAACATGTAGAATGGAAAATGGATAAGGCTGTACTGTACTATTTATAGTATAATGTGCAGAGGAAGACCTTACGAACTCTACTTAAGACTAGTGTGAGTAGGTAGTAGGGAAGGAGGAAATTAAAAAAGAAGAGATCTGTCAGAGTATCCATCTTAGAGAAGTAAACTTTTGAGTCAATACCTAGAATTAGTAAGGAAAGCAGAATTAGCTAGTGCTTCCTTTAGAGACTGAAGCCCATACAAAGACTGGAGACATTTCTAAATGGACTATAGTAGGAGCATACATGGATTTAATACATGTACTTTATTTGGTCATGAGCTAGCTAAAATGTCTATGATATATACTACCTTGAATCTTCCCTGGGTAAACACTGTGAGACTCATATACGCAAATAAATCACCTGGCTAGAAAGCACCTCCATGCATCACCCAGCATCTACTTCTAGCGAAGTAATAAACACTTCTTATTTCTTTGTGAAATATTGGCTCTGAAAATTTAGAAAGTTTAAATCTCATGCTCGCACTGGAGAGGAAGGAAAGTGATAGTTTCTCTCTGTCAAATAGAAGTTTGGGATAATTTATAGAATGGGATGTCACGTTCAACACTAGCTTGGCTCTGCCTTGCGTTAAGTTCCCAAACGTTGTATGTGAGAATTAGGAACAGCCATGCTGTGACTTGGGTTAGCAAATGCGCCCACCAACTAAACAGTATTATTCAGCAAATCAGCAATTACAGTTCACCGAGAGATGAAAGGCTTCAACCTGCACTACTCACACTTAGGTAATGCCTGAAACTTGGTAAGTCAGTCATAAGTCAGCGGCATTAATAAGCCACAAGCCAGTGTTTATAATTAAGTAAAGACAGCTTAATTTTGTTTAAGAATTATTTATTTTCATTTTATTCACTACTTATTATTCTTCCATTTGACCAGAGAGAGAAAGGGAGAGAGAAAGCAAGCTGCCAAGTCTAAGATTTGAACCGCTGTCAGCCATGTGGGAGTGTAGCGCCTTATCCACCACACTACTCTCTGGCCTCAAGACAGCTTAAATTTTTTTGGGGGGGAGGGGGGAGAGGTTTTTGCTGTAGGGCATATGTGCTCACCAGAAAGACAGAGAGAGAGACAGAGAGATAGAAAGTGAGAAATCACCCCCCAGGGGGGATGGCCACACCATAATCCCTTCTCCTTCATTCTCCTCTCAAGATCTTGGGCACACATGCACCCAACATGAGTTTCAGCCACTGGGTCTGGGATTCGAACCGTGGTCGGCTACATGGGAGTCCAGTGACATAGCCATTACGCTAACTGTTGGTCCCCGAGACAGCTTAAAATTTTAAGTAAGGTTCTTCTTTGCCGCACGTTGATGGGAAAGGGAGTATATGCTGGCCTCATTCATGTGGAGGCATTTCCTCTGGAGCTGAAAAAGTGTGTGGAAAAGTATGTTTAAGGCTAACAAAGTCTGCTGGAACAGAAGGAAAATAGGGTAACAGCCCACCACCCAGAGAAGACATGAAACCACCAGGGCTGAAGGATTCCTGTGAGAGATGACCATGAGCCAGGTTGGCTATAATGGTCTGCTAAGCCCCAGGGATTAAAAAATGACAGTAGGAACTCATGGCAGGGTGTATTACCTTGCTGATAAAGAGAATCAGACCACTGTACAACTTAAAATGTTAAATTCAAGCCAAGGCAGGCACAACCTCTGTCTCTCAGAATTCCTCTCATCTCAGTGTCATCACACTAGGGATAATAGCTGATTCGAGGATTGGTGAAGCTTTGGGGGTTCAGCCATGTGAATTCATTCTCTTATTGTAATTTTTAAAAAATTTTTTATTTAATTTCATTTGGTATGATTTATTTTTTAATTTGACCAGAGAGAGACAGAGAGAAAAAGGGAGAGAAAGCTAGCACCAGGCCCGAGACTCAAACTGCCATCAGCCATGTGGGAATTCAGCACCTTCATCCACCATGCCACCTGCCAACCCCCGTGCTCTCATTTTATGCATCAGACCTCTTCTCTTTCTTTCATCAGTCCCTAAGTGGAAGTGACCATTACCTTTTGTCCATTGATTTTTGTAGGGGCAAGAAAAATATCTCTACCCACTTTAGTTTCATTGACTAGGTCCAGTAAATTAGATTAACAACAACAACAACAACAAACAGATCAACAAGAGAAAGTGAACAGAACTTTATTAACATGTGTATTGTAGAGCCACATGGGAGGACCTACAGATGAGTAATTCAAAGCAGTGAGTAGAACTTGGGCTTTTAGGGACCAGAAGATGGCAGAATGGTTACATCACTGGACTCCCGTGTGTTGAACTGTGGTTCAAATCCCAGACTTCGTGGCTTAAAACACATACCAGGTGCATATGCATGCATGCCCAAGATCCTGAGAGGAGAATGAACGAGAAGGGATTACTGCATGGCCATTTCCACTGGGGGGTGATTTCTTGCTTTCTGTCTCTCTGTCTCTCTCCATCTCTCCAGAGAGCTCATATGCCCTATAGCAAAAATCTCTCTCTAAAATAAGAAGAGAAGTTGGGCTATATAGCATTTTAAGGAAAAGAATAGTATTTTAGAACAAGGACAAGCAGAG